CTTGATGTACTTCTTTGTTATTTATATTTTTCTGATTTTGAAAATGATTAATATAACAGATATAACGTAAAAACGTCTGCCTAATAATATAAACAAATACATTAAATTGTTCGACACTATTTACACCAGCACCACTTATAAATAATTGTTTTAAGAAAGCAGAATAAATTCGCTTTTTAAACAATGATTATGAGTCTTTGTTTAATGCATAGATTAAACACTGTTGCATGTGCACAATTCTGCAGATGAAGGAAATCCAAAAACGAATGAAATAAATCAGCATACACGATTAACCATGAATTGAATTGACGGTTAAAAATGTAGTTAGAGGTTAGAACGATTTAAAAGTATGAAAAAGGGCAGCAAGACGATTCTCATAGACATTCTTGACAGGAGTCAATTTCGCGCCTGCGCAAAAGGTACGGAGTCTTGCGGTTTTTAGTGTCGCCTCTAGTCTAGGGGTTACGTCCGTAGATAGTCATGACTAGTCTATCTTTGGACTAGTCTTACAATATCAGCAATCTCGGAGAGTGGTATTATTGTGCCAGGGCCGTAAAATTGTAGTAAATGTGAAAAAATTATAGTAGATAAAAAAATCAAGTTTAATTTTATCGCATTAAATAACGATTAAACGTTTTTAAAGCTTATATTATGAAATTGTTGAATTGAGAGTTCAATTTAAAGTAAACAGACTGTTTAAAATATGATTGCTGACACGTGATTGGTTGAGATTAAGGCGCGTGTCAATTCGCGTTTTAAATATCTATTAGTGTTTAAGTTACTTAATATAAGTATTTTCCATACAAGCATCAAATATAATATTATCTAATACATTTGAATATTTATCGGTATATATAGTTCAAAAGCATTTATAAAATTAATTACAAACATTGTATTTTGGTGACGTCCTCTAGGATAAAGTACTCCGGACGTAAACTGATCCCCCATTCTGATGTTCAAGCGAGGACTATCGTGGGGAATGATAGAAATAATTGCAATAGGGGAAAGTGCAATATATGTAGAGCGTGGAATGTTAGGACAATTAGTCAAGCAAGAAAATTAGGAAATTAGAAAGTTGAAAATAATAGATTAGAATTAGATTTAGTAAGTATTAGTGAAGTTCATTGACCAGAAGCTGGGGCTTCTGTAGTGGAGTCTTTAGAATAATACGTACAAGATCGGTAGAAAGTAATTCGGGGGTAAAAATTGTAATGCGTATGCTGAATTGTTAGTAAAAAGAGATAGAATATTCAAGAAAGAAAAGTACGCACAGTAAAGTTGAAAGTACAAGTTTATAGCACTAAAACTGAACAATATAGAATTTTAGGAAAAGTAATTAAGGGAAAGTCCAGCTATTAATAAGGGGTACATGCAGGTATAGGCGAAGATGAAATTCTAGGTAAAGGCTCACGATACTACAATAAGAAGTTGTAAGTCTACAAATAGATTTAGAAGGATATTTACAAAACAACAATAATGTAGCGAGCACGAGCGTGTTTGTATGCGTTCGGGCATACATGTGTGTGAGCGGCTTATCGATTCGCCGACTAGCCGCGGGCGCCTTTCTTCATGTGCACCGTATTTGTAAATGTGTGTGTCGTGCTTGCGTTCTGGGAAAGCAGTTAAACAGTTCAAAGAAAAACAAAACGATCTGGACGTTTCGAGAAGGTTCCCGAACGGAAACAACAGAGTATTTAAAGGAAGAGACGATCGCCTACAGTAGTAGAAATAAATTGACCGTTGCAGAAGCGAAAAGGGGAAATAAATTGATATATCAACAGTAGTGTAAATAAATAGAATAATTCATAACCTAAGTTTAAAAAATTAATACTATTTTTAAGTTCTTTAATAATTAGTGTAAATANCGTTTCACGGTCTTGATGTACTTCTTTGTTATTTATATTTTTCTGATTTTGCAAATGATTAATATAACAGATATAACGTAAAAACGTCTGCCTAATAATATAAACAAATACATTAAAATGTTCGACACTATTTAAACCAGCACCACTTATAAGCTAAACAAAAAAATAAGTAATTGTTTTAAGAAACAGAATAAATTGGCTTTTTAAACAATGATTATGAGTCTTTGTTTAATGCATAGATAAACACAATTGCATGTGCACAATTCTGCAGGTGAAGGAAATCCAAAAACGAACGAAATAAATCAGCATACACGATTAACCATGAATTGAATTGACGGTTAAAAATGTAGTTAGAGGTTAGAACGATTTAAAAATATGAAAAAGGGCGGCAAGGCGATTCTCATAGACATTCTTGACAGGAGTCAATTTCGCGCCTGCGCAAAAGGTACGGAGTCTTGCGGTTTTTAGTGTCGCCTCTAGTCTAGGGGNACGATTTAAAAATATGAAAAAGGGCGGCAAGGCGATTCTCATAGACATTCTTGACAGGAGTCAATTTCGCGCCTGCGCAAAAGATACGGAGTCTTGCGGTTTTTAGTGTCGCCAGGTGTCGCCTTATATCTCCCTGGTTTATTATCCAAAACCAGTGACAGTTTTATTCTTATCTATGATGCTATTTTGCTGGTGACGAAACGGCCATCTTGTAGCGTCAAATTTTACGGTCAACGGACGAAAGGTGTTTATGTTATTTTCAAATACTCAGATTCATTCTTATCAGATTATTGGTTGATTTTTAGCAACGGAGTGTTGTACTATATTGTCATTATTGTGCTTTAGAGTCCGGTGTCATTCATATATACTTGTTCCCAAAAGAATAACATAAGGTAAATGACTGCCTACCCATAATTTATTTAAAAAATAACTGTAATAAGTGTAAAGAGTTTTAATTATCAATGAGAAAAGTAAGTATGAAACGTCGAAGCAAAAACGACAAGAAAAATGCTAACGAAAAAACTGGGCAAAAAAATGGTGTAAATGAGGAATGTCACGAAAAAGAAGAAACACAATCTGATTCGGATGTATCTACAGATTATGAAACCAGTCTAGAATTAGAGAAAAAGAAGAAAAAGAAGACGGAAAAGGATCAGGTAGAACGGTCTGAAAAAAATAAGAAGAAGAAATCTGAAGAAGAGCTTAAGGATGAAAATGATGAACCTGCAAGTAAGAAAAAACGAAAATCTGAGAAACGGAAAAGTGTTTCATTTTCTAAAAGGCATGATGTATCAGAATCAGAAACTGAGAAGGAATCAGAAACAGAAGAGGAAGATGGCCAATTTGAGGTAAATAGTGTAGTAGATGTGGTTTAGTAAGATATTAAATTTAAATTTATTGTTTTAGGTTGAAGCAGTACTTGATGACAAAAAGATTAAAGGTGTTTTGCATTATTTGATCAGATGGAAAGGTTATGGGCCAGAAAGTGATACATGGGAGCCCGAATCAACCTTGCATTGTGATGATTTAATTGCTGAGTACCGAAGTACTTCTAAATCAAGTGATAAAAAAATGAAACCTTTAAGAAAGGAAATAAAAACAAAGAGAACCAAGGATTCTGAAAACAACTGGGATAAAAATGAACAGTTTGAGGTATGTGATGCTTTTGTTTATAATAAAATGTGATGTCGCATTTTGTTAGGTTGAAAGAATATTAGAGGTTCATTTTAAAAGAAATGGTGACAGAGAATTTCTGGTTTCATGGAAAGGCTATCCAGCTTCAGATAATTCCTGGGAGCCTGAGGAAAATCTTCAGTGTCCAGATCTCATTGAAAAGTTCATGTTAAAAGTTGCACAAGCTAAAAATATTGACCAAAAAGAACTAAGGGAATTTAGAAAACCGACTGAAAGGCTTACTTTAAATATGCAGGAAACATCAAGGCGTCTAAGTAGAAGACTTCGTGGCAAGCAAAGGTAAATTATTTTGTTCTCTGTTTTTGAAAAGTATTTTAAGAGAACTTTCATAACATAATCAACTTGGCTAAATTTTTTGCAATTTTTACAAACCATCGTGAAGTAAAGGTTGTGGCATTTATAATCAATTAAAAAAAAAACGTGGCGTCCTAGCTCTAATTAAAACAAAAAATTGTTATAATAATCTGTGATCTAATGACAATTGAACATGCAAATTGCCATTGTAAATTTGAACCTATAATGTGTGTGAGTATGTAGTCCAGTGAAATTAGGTTTTTATGTCCTAAAAGATATTGTACCATCTTTTTTTAATCAATTTATTTTAGTGTTTAGAAAAAATTATTAAAAATGGAACATCAAATCACTAATGCATAAAATATCAAGGTCAAAATTTTTTGCAAAGTCCTATGACTCCAACATCAGTTAAGGTCATTATAAAAACGAAAGATAATGGAATTTTCCAAAAAAATGATCTCTTCAATTTTTTATGTTAAACGAATAGTTAAGGTAAAAATTTATTCCCACGTAAGCTCATATTCTATGCATGGGCTACAGGAAGAGGTGTATATACACCTTACGTGAAAATTTTTGCTTTAATCATTTATTATATATAAAAAACAGATCATTTGTTTGGAGAATTCCATTATCTCGCTTTCATAATGACTTTAATTGACCCAAAAAAACTTTATTAACATTAACCTTGAATAATTTTTTATGCGATAGTGATTTCGTGCTCCATTTTTAATATTGTTTTTAAAACACCAAAATAAAGTCATTAACAGAAAGTATGATAACTAATCTTTTAGAACCTTTTTACATCTAAAGTGATTGGAGTTGGTTAAACATTCTGTTGTGGTATACTGGAGTTTGTTTCACATATGATTGCTGGTGTAGTCGATCAGTTATTTATTTATCTACCATGGTACAAACCGAATGCACTTCCACGTTGTAAAAAAGTAGAAGTGAAAAATTAATGCGTTCCATTCCTAACAAGTGTTGAAATTGTCCACTGCTAGCTTCAATGAAAGAATAACCTGGTGTATCCAATTTCCTCGAATTTTGTCTATGATACTGTAGCGATGTGTATAGAAATTCTTTTGTATGGCCCCACAAATATAAATTTGTTCATGTCAAATCTAGTGAACGGGGTTACTGTATCATTGGTTCGAAACGACCTACCTCCCGTCGAGTTTGCATTCCGTTAAGAAAAAACGGTACGTGATGTAGTTGAGTCAAATGCCTCTGTACAATATAAATATCATCCTGGAGATGGTAAACAAGTAACGAAAATTAGAGTATGTTGTGTGTTATATCATATCAGTTGTTTGAATAGGAAAAAGTACTGTGCACTTCGAAGAGTCTTCATTACTTCTTTTAATTTCGCAATTATTAGTTTGATGCATACATAGTGTAATCAGTGCACTTGTGCAGAGCATGGAATCCAAAATGGTTATTATCGGATGACAGGAAATATTCAATTATAAGTAATAGAGGCTCGTAAAAAATGTAAAGTTAATAAGGTTATTAAACACAAAAATGCAAAATTTTATGTTTTTATTGCTACTTAAGTGTTTCAATTTTTACTGTGTGCCCTTCCTTTCAATATTTAAGTTCTAGACTCATTCTTTAAAATTTTTATTCTTCTATCACTTCGGCTTGGTTACTAATTTTTTTAAGTCAGNTTTATGTTTCAAACATTAAGCTTTCAAATGTCAGCGGGTATATATATACCGTTTTTTTTTTTTATTTTAGAAGTGGTGTAAAATTTTTTAATTAAAATGGCTAAGTCTACTGCCATGTTTTCTGTAAGAAATTTAAATGTTTTTTTTGTGAAAAAGATTTAACGATTACATTGTTGATTGCAGCAACTTCAGCCATGGAGTTCAGTGGCAGCTCAACCCTGTATGGAGCAGACAGTTGGCGCACCCATAACAACACGCGTTGGAAATTACTATCAAACGCCTAGACCACATCCATGGCGCCCAACATTGGGATTTGAAAATATTGAAGTGATGCCACTGTACGTTTAAAGTATTATTGCTTCTATTTTACTTAATGTACTAACATACAAATTAAACCAATAAAGGCCCAGCCAACCTGTCACCAATGCTCTATCTGATCCCTGTTACACTCCTTATGGAATGATAACGGAACCCTTGAAATTTCCCAACTTAGTTACCGGTTTCGAAAGAAATCCCGCCCACGCAGCTAGGGCTGCTTTGTATACACGTTATACGCCTATGGAGTGGTGTCAGGGGAACATAGCTAAATACAATGAAGCGGATACAATGAGAAATTACTCAGAAAGGCTTAGAGGGGACTTTATCCGGGTTTTAAGGTACTTATGATATTTTTCTTTAATAGTTTAAAATATCAAATTTTTTGAATCTTCAACTTTCCTATTCCCATTAGATTATATAACATACAGTATTTACTTAAAATTAAACGAATAGTAGAATAAATTTTCCGATAGTATAAGATTGCATTTTTTAATAACAAAAGGTTTACTGCTATTACCTTATCATTCGAATAAGTATATTTTCTGAAAAGAGAGACGGATGAGAAAACAACTCTTGGTCAACGAGAATCTGGTCGTCGATTAGGCGAAAGAATTACAGATATAACTTTTTGGAGAAACGAGTGTGCAACTGAACTTGAGAAATTAATAACCGAAAATGCATTACTTTCAAACATGCGTCAAAACATCGATAAAGCGATTTTAGATATTGAAGGTCCCTTGCATATCGCCCAAGAATGTCTATACCATAGGGAAAATAGAGATGGTTTGTTTGATTAATTTCTTTAATAGCAATCCCATTTGTAGAATATTAATGATTTCCAGGAACTGAACGTGTTCATGACATAGGCGAGCAAGCTCTCTTAAAAGAAGTAGAGACTTACAGGAATGGACAAGAGAGACTGAGGACATTGGTGGATAAAATTAGAGCACAATTGAGAAACAACAGAGCTGTTCAGTTTGAGCTAGAAACTGACGTACGTAGCAAAGAATCAGCACTTGGTACGGATAGTATGTGTCATCAGCTGAATAACTTCTCAAAAGGAATTAATTACTACGGTGGAATCGAAAAATATGATCCAAGGTAAGAATCTTTTAAAACCATTTGCTGTTTAGGATTTTTAAGGAAATGCACCAAAAAGCAAGAAAACCTTATGTTTGAATTTAAAATGTTTGTTTGTCTGCCCATTTGTCACAAGATTTTATCTCAGTGGCGGTAGTAGGTAGTCAGTTGAAATCTTCATAGCTTGAGTTTTGTGGCATGAATAGGCAAAAACAAAAAATAGAAAGTTTAACCCCCTATAACACATCTCATAGGTACATGATGTTAGTGATGATATGTTTATATCACACTGTATTTGCTTGTCACCTATCTATATATCAACACACGTCAGCTGTCACCCAGAGGCCTATATATATTGTCATCAAATTCTTAGGAATAGCCTTCATTCCTTTGAAAGGGTTTTCGCCATGTGAGATTGATATATCCTTTACTACTTTTGGCGTTTTTAGTAATGAGGTTGCCGACTATCAATGGGATTCCCGCATGCGGACATAAAAGGACATACATGCCCGTAAATAACGCTGCTCCCTCCTTAAAATATAATATTCTCTTCTTCCTTTGAAGCTCTGACCCTTGTGTCACCTAGATGAAAGCAGCAATTGATTGTCATCAATTGAACGGGTTTTTGTCGTGGATTGTCAGTGCATACCAATACATTTACACTGGTATACCTGAACAGGACCTCCAATATGCGTCGTACTACCCTGCATTTCAGCCCATTTAGACTACATCCTATTTTTGGCGTCGCTAACTTCATGGTATATTAGTGGTGCGCATTAGGTATCTTAATTCCATCAAACAATCTAATAGAGAGTTGTAGATGGGTTTCTTCTTTGGTCCCACCTCCGGCAATCTACTTGTCAGGTTTACAGCTAAACTTGGATGCCATAATAAACAACAGATAGCGATCCAAGTCTCTCTGAGGTTTGGACACCTTTCGTTTTATCACGGATGCAGAGTCCAGGTTCTGTGAATGGTTAGTATCTTATAAATGTCATGAAATACTGCGCAATCGATGTTTCGGATTTGGTCAGAATGGAGTTTCATTGCTATTCCGAATCGATTGATTAGACGTTTGACGAGCTCTTCCGCTACTGGTTGGTATGGATGATCGCATTCGCCTATTTGATAATTCATTGTCACTCAGATGTTGCCAGATATGGTCCTGCAAAGTATGTATCAGTTCTCTCAAATGGGCTGCCGGCGCATGGGGACATGCAGTTTGCGCAAAACGTACACTTTTTAAAGCAGTCTTTAATGTCCTTCTCGCAATGGACTCAGTAAAATCGGTCATGTACATACATTCCCAGGGGTTTTTATAGTAAAATGTCCTACTCAAGAACCGTCATGAAGTTAATGTATTTTCACTAAATTACTCGGTACCAACAGTTGATGTCTGTCCCAAGTACAATCCTCATTTTCAACTAGGAGGAGACTATCTTCTTCAATAATAGCATAACATGAAGTACTGCAAACGGCGTTCTGAACGTGATGTGTGCTACAATGCACATTTAGTGAAATTCAATATATTTAACAAGGTCTATTTACGATTGAATCCACGGCGTAGCCACGTAATCCAATCCAACAAATTTTCTCCTGTAGATACAAGCAGTTACTTCGTGCCAGACTAGCCACCTCTCTTAATTGTTCCATTCTCGGTGCATTCTCGGGACCAAATTATAGTTCAGTTCTGTCTTAATGTGTCAGGCTGCCGCTGTTCATCGAAGACAGACTAACTACCGATTCATGTTCCTTCATATGCCTATTGGACTTACGATTATTAGGATATGGTTTTCGGGATAAGGCTTGAGGGTTATTACGCTTATGTCCCGCTTTCTGATGTGCTTGTGAGCAGCTTTTTACTTTTGCAAGCGCTTCTTACATGCCCCAACATCCTGCAGTTTCAGCATCTTATCGGCCTCGACTTTTTATTTATTTTGCTGATTATTCGGCGAATAAACTCTTCCAGCTTATCGTCCTTTAGTCTGTCCAACTCTTCACTTGTCAAGCAATGCATTAGTTGTACGAAGAAAAAGAGATTTTGATTATCATAAAGAACGATGAAGACCTTTTTCACCTTTGGTGATATAACGTTGAATGTGGAAAATCAACTGAAATTATACCTAATTGAGTCTAATTTTTGACTTTCACATACTTTTTTTATTTAATTCTTTCTTTTACTTAACTTTAACTTAATTTTAGTATAACTGACACAACTACATGGGCTGAAAATAGTAACAGAATTGTGCAGAGATCCCAATCAGAGAGAACTAAAACCGTACAGATGAGATCGGATATTGATAATTTGATCAATGTAGTTTCGGGAACTATTTGGGATGCTTGGAGTAATACTAATAATGCCTTAGCTAAGAGAGCAGCCGAACTATTAGAGGCAAAAGGAAAGCTTCAGATGCATCTAACAAACGTATTTTTAATTTTATGGGTTTTAATGATGCATATTAGTTTTTTATTGGTTGAAAATTTTGTGGTGTACCACTTTATTTTGTATTGCAGTTGCAACAAGAGATATTTAATATCGAAAAGTACATTGAACTCTTACGTAAAGGAATCCAGGATAAAACAAATCCCATGAAAGTAGCCCATACACGTCTTGAAGCTCGCAGTCATCGTAAAGGTATTGAATTGTGCCGGGACATTGCCCAGGACAGGTAACTCAATTTTAAATTTCATTAAGCACCATTTTACTTAGTATTGGTTTGTCAGATTGGTTTCAGAGGTTCTTGATATCCAAGACAATATTGAAGAATTGCATCGTAAATTAGAGGAAGCGGAAGCTCAACACCAACAACTGTTAAAAACGAGAGCCACGTTAGAAACAGACCTGCACAATAAAGTTAACAGTTTGTTTATTGACCGAGAAAAATGCATCGGAATGCGCAGATCATTTCCAATAACTGCCACGATCAAATATTGATTGTAAAGCATTGTATTTGCTGTTGCTTTTCAATTGTTAGACATTCCAGTTAGATGTTCCACTATCCCATATGCTTCATAAAATGAATTTTAAACAATATTCTTTAAAAGTACCTGAATCCTTTAATAAATCGTAACTAATGAGTTTTTATTATCTCGAACTAAACTAAACAAACTAACATCATAAACATGACATGACATTTGTAAACATATTGGTAAGCAATGTGACGCGAAATTGATTTAAATTAAGTGAGATCAAAATGACTATAAAAATTAAACTTTACAATCATATCATTATATTCTTGTAAAATAATTAAAATAATTATTGTACTGTACAATCTAAATAAGTTTCACTTCTTACGCGTGTACAATAATATACGCATGCCTCTTCTTAAAAAAATCCATAAGAAGTTACAGTGCGAAGCCAGTCCTGGACGTGAATTAACAACGTAGGACTGTACAGGTCGGACTAACGAAGCTGACGAGCGGTCACGCAGGTACTTGCCCATTTTTGCCTATTCGGGTAAATCACNATAAAATAATAATAATTTTTGTATAGGTAGGGTAGACCAGACAATTATAGGACATTTCAGCAAAATTTGAATTTGGCACCATAAGTCTGTGATACTTCCTTGTCGAAAAAGACTTGAAAATGGACTGAGCTTTTTTTTACAAATCCGTTATTAACATGCCAAATGAGCTAATATTTTTTTTGAAAAATCGGAAAAAGTCAGCAGTACTTTGAATACCCAATTACTGATCACGATCCGATATTATTAAGTAAAACAGTTTCTGCAAAAATTGATACTCTCATAAGTATATGATAAAGTACACAAGCTACTGTAACTTAATGTCAGTCCAAGACAGTAGTTGAAAAAAATGATAATTTTGGAAAGAATGATATTAAATGATTAGGATTCAAATTTGTATAGGTGATATTTTGGACACTTTTACGAAAGGCTAATGACCGTTCCGGCAGGTTTATAAAATATTATAAGGTTCGGTAGGCAGGAAGCCATTAAAGTACCCTTAATAAAAAGAAAGAAGAGAACATTTGTCTCCAAAAAGGAATGAACAAATGTCGATGTTCGAGGCCTTCTTCGAGTAATCGTGATTATGTTTATGCATGGGGTTACTCGATCTGAAGGATATGATCCTGAGAAATCGGTGTTAAATTTGTTTTATCGTACGTCTCTGATAACTATACAGTGGTGCCTAGAGAGGGGTGACATATATTAAAATGGATCTGACATAAGGAAAATAAAAATTTCTCACTGAAGATAAGTTGGTGAAATCCTTAGAAGAGTGCAGAATGAATGATAGCGACCTGACATCTCTAAAAGCAATTTATAGAATGTGGGAATTAAATTTTCATTTTTTTAGTACGTATTTTTTATAATATTCTTCTCACTTTCAACAAAACATAAATAACACCTTAACATCTCTTTAAACAAACACTCAAATTACTGTCCGTCAAATTTTGTACAATCGATGTTACTCATATTATATGCATGCTGTAGCAATTTACCAATTCACTAGGACTGGCGTCAAAACTATTCCAATTTTTTAATTTTTTATTTTAATAGTCAAAAAGCGGTATAAAATTTTATATTCCATGTGTTCTCAAAATATTATTGATTATTAATGCCACACCTTGTATATTATTACAAAAGAGCTGAAATGTTTGTATATCTTTTTACCAAAGACCATAAATAAATCCAAATAAATATGGTATCATTTTACGGGGATCTACAAAAAGAGGTATATTTGACGTTAGCGTATTAGAATAAAATAATTCGAAGTGGTCTGTATTTTGTCGAAACTGCCAGACGCAGATCGCGATTTCGATCTTTTTGGATCTCGTCAGCGCGGCGAAGGCAGCTCCGACAGAACACAGACCAACTGTTACCTGCTGTCTTAACAGCGCGTTTTAGAAAATACTACAGATGGCGTTTACCGCGCCATTTGTGGTATTTTCTAAGCGTATTAGATTTTATTTGAAAATTTGCAATTATTGGGAGTAGGGGTCAAAGATTTTCCTTTTAACTAAAATAACTTCAACTGTTGGCCACTTCCAGTTATACTAGAAATTGATGCCAATTTTTTTATTTTAAATGGAATAGTATCTCCTACGACGAATTCGTACGAAACACAAAATTATAAGGCAAGGTGTATGTCTATGATGAGTAGCGTCTGAGATAATTCAATTTACCTATAAAAAAAGTTCGCTATCGCAACCGAAACTATAGGGTGTTTCTAAAACAAATACAAAGCTTGCAGGAGCTGACGGGGTATTATAAAACACGACATTCAAGAAAAAGTTGCTCCGAAAGTTCAGCATTTTCGCGAAAAACGAACCAGAAAATACAGTACCTACACTACTGTCATGACAAAATTTTTTTGCTCATGTATTGTTTGTTATTTGTTAGCTTAGATTATTTCAGAAACACCCTGTATAAAAATGTATAACTTCTACAAAAAATTAGCATTGAAATCTTTACGAGTTACATTCGAGTCATCGAGTTAACGTTATGCCAACACTAGCTTCATAATTTATACAAGGCGTTTAGAGAAAAAATCAAAGTTGAGAACTTCAAACTTTTTCAAGTGATACCTATTATATTTTATTTCACCGTTCGATTCCTCTTCTTATCCTGTTTCCAATAATGCTGGATCGGTGCGTCCAGAAATGTTGAGAGTGGGTAGAGTGTACTTTAGTCTAGGAAGATATGACATGATAGGGTCATATCGAAGTGCAAAATTGGCATTAGGTGTTTTCAGTCGAAATTTATTCTTAATGTCCAAAAGCAAATGGAAATTGGCAAAATGCTTTTCAAAAAATGATTACGATCATACGAGCAGACGCCAGAAGCGTGAATGAAAGGCAATGATTAATAAGACATAAAAAGATGATTTTCATAATGGTGAAGAAAAAATCTTAATGTGACAAGGCAATGAACAAGGCAGGCAGTTAATAATATGAAGCGAAGGGATGTCGACAAAACATCGAAATTGAAAAACTTGTCTTATCGTTCTTGTGGTTGCTGGTAACATCAGACTCTTACAGGTTTATATGTTTATAACTTAATTATTGATGTTTAGTTCAATAGCGTTTTAATTACGAGGCGACAGAAAGTAATATCAGAGCGAAGAAGCTATAAGATGTACAAAAAAATAGTGAACGACTATTTAATTAATAATAATAGTGGTGTTAATTATTTAAATAAATTAGTAGTAATGCGAAAGATTTTTTATATTTGGTGTCAGGTGTGGGGTTCAAGAGGATTGAAGAAGAATGGGGAACAGAACTTTTAAGAATTTCATCGAATATTCTAATGCGTTTCATCACTAATTTTGTGAAAGTCTCTACCGATCCCAAATAACCCGAACAAACAATATACAGGGTTTGCCCGGAAAGTATTAGGACTGATTTCCTTCCGCCGCGACTATAGTTCGGAGCGTGCGCGCACCGACTGGATTCGGTAGAGGGCTTTTCTAGCTAACGAACGAGCGGCTGGTGAGTTGTCTCCGAGCACCTGGAGAGTCAGAACAGGCTTTTTCGCGCGATGTGTTTCTGGAAGTTATGATTCTTTTTAGTTTGGGTTGCGGTAGCGAATTTTTTTTCTATAAATTTAATTATCTTTGAAGCTATTGATCGTGTGAGCATATAAGTTGGTTATAAGGGTTATCCTACAACGTTGTTTCATACGAATTCGTTGAAATAATAGTTAAAAAATGCTATTAAGTGTGTACAGATACGTAAAAAATGCATAGTCTTAGAAAAATGTATGGATACATAAAAAATAAAAAAGAGAAAATAAACCAGTGACAAACTCAGATTACAGCTACATATTTGTTAACTCAAGAAAGGCTGAAATGACATCGATTACGGTTTACATAAACATTTCGATAACATCTGATCATTTGACACGACCCCCACTATTTGGCGTATGCTTAAAAATTTGGTTTTATCTACTTCATCAGCGTTAATAAAATTTGCTTTAGCTTTTTTAAGAGTTTAATTTCCGAATGAACCTTTTAACTTGAAATACGCTTTGGTAGTGACAGTAAAACGCAGGAGGATTGCTCTTTTTTTATCTGAGGTGCTTAGCATTTTTTCTTTTTTCAAAGCTTTGCCTCTCACTCTGATTTTTTTTCATCTTCATCCAAAATATTACCCATTACCTCTTGTGTCTTTACTTCCTCCTCCTTAGACGCATATTGTATAAAATTTACATTTTCAACTACCGTATTTGTAACGTCAAAATCATTACCTGGTTTCACGTCAGCATTAGATAATAAATCAGGTTCTTCCAACATTGTCCTCACCATTTGTACCACTAACATTGACGGTATTGTCCACCTCTATATCGGCATCAGATAGTAAGTCAGCTGAATCTCTTTCGCCAATTTTTTCTGCAGATTCACTGGAAGTTTTGAACTTGGTGTTAATTCTTCTATTTCATCCCCGATTTGTTGACTCTTTTGACTTTTCTGCGCAGAGCTTTTAAATTTTTTCAGTTAAAATGTCGAGCATGTATACGAACAACGGCCTATAACTTAGAAAGAACGTTTTTATTTTTGCTATTACACAAAACGTAAACCAACAGACCAATTTTTACAATGATTATCAGTCATTCTTGCTCGAAGTATATTTTCGACGTCTTGACAATTTCACTTGATGCTACCCTGATTATAGATATCGCGGTCTACGTTTTGTGATACTATATTCTGAACACATTTCTTTTAACTCCACTATTACTAGATCTCGACCGTTCCGCACTGTGTTATTTTGAGGGCTCCGAAAGTTATATAATTTTCAATAGCTCATCTGCTACTTCCGCTGCTCTTTCGCATTTTAACGGTGGAAGATATGAGCACTTAGTACTGTGGTCCTGATAATTAAATATTCCTTTATTATCGCCATTTGGCATTGACTGATAACCTATCAGATCGATTTGACCACGTTCATTGAAGTCTTGGGAAGTTATAGATCTGACGACAACTTTTCGGGACATACCTTTTCGACGTTCTAAGTTTTGTATACTTTCAATATGTTTCGATAGCGCTTTTGGAAATAGAGCATTTATTTTTCAATCCATAATGCGTTCTTACGCTACCTCCATTACAAGCGTTTCATTTGCTTACTCTGTCAAACAAATCTTCCTAAGATAACATAGTTTATGTGGTCATTACAGTTTATTTCATTTCTTCATTAACTTTTTCTTATTAAGTATTTTTGCCGATACAGGTCGTATGATTCACAGTTCTAATTAAAGTTTCTGTCAAGTTCCCCATTGTAGTAATATTTAATGCAGGTAGAACAATAATATAATTACAAATTGACTTTCGTGGTCAGTAGATGATCTTATGCTGTCCTGATTTGGGACTAAAGGCCGTAGTTGGTTATAGTTGCTTCTTAACGGAGACGGAAAGACCTCTGAAGAAACTCGCCACTCGTGCTAGCGAAACGTTAGGAGGCATCTCCAGTCGACGACGTACTTTAGGAATCAGGACAGCATCAGTTCAATATAATTACTGCTGTAACTCTGGGATGGTATTAGTGGGTCAACAAAGAAACGAAAACAAGAAAAATACGAATATTTAACAATCATAATTAGTGCGCTAGAGTGTAAGTACATCAAGATTATACGTTAAATTGATTTATGGATGTGTATTTTGTTTCTAATAACTTTTTTTAGATAAAAACATCTTACAAATTACTTTCAACTACCTACAATCTTTTGCAAACAAATGCAATAACAGTCAACCCCCCCTCAATCTACCACACTAAATGTGCTGTTGTAATATTATTTGCGATATTGATTTCATTTTTTGTTACTGCTCTACCATGTTCTTATTCAAATTTCAGGGTTCATTACCATGATGCGGAATAATATCGAGATTGAAATGGATTCATTTGGTATTTTAATTACAGATAGATCATATTTGTATTAGTAACATTAGGTTGTAATTATTTTCACTTTATGTTGTTGTGTCAATCATACGTCTAAAATAGTTGTCTTACATAATATCATTATTTTATATAATATATTCGTAAAAATGTGCATGCCAGAAAATACAGTACCTACACTACTGTCATGACAAAATTTTTTTGCTCATGTATTGTTTGTTATTTGTTAGCTTAGATTATTTCAGAAACACCCTGTATAAAAATGTATAACTTCTACAAAAAATTAGCATTGAAATCTTTACGAGTTACATTCGAGTCATCGAGTTAACGTTATGCCAACACTAGCTTCATAATTTATACAAGGCGTTTAGAGAAAAAATCAAAGTTGAGAACTTCAAACTTTTTCAAGTGATACCTATTATATTTTATTTCACCGTTCGATTCCTCTTCTTATCCTGTTTCCAATAATGCTGGATCGGTGCGTCCAGAAATGTTGAGAGTGGGTAGAGTGTACTTTAGTCTAGGAAGATATGACATGATAGGGTCATATCGAAGTGCAAAATTGGCATTAGGTGTTTTCAGTCGAAATTTATTCTTAATGTCCAAAAGCAAATGGAAATTGGCAAAATGCTTTTCAAAAAATGATTACGATCATACGAGCAGACGCCAGAAGCGTGAATGAAAGGCAATGATTAATAAGACATAAAAAGATGATTTTCATAATGGTGAAGAAAAAATCTTAATGTGACAAGGCAATGAACAAGGCAGGCAGTTAATAATATGAAGCGAAGGGATGTCGACAAAACATCGAAATTGAAAAACTTGTCTTATCGTTCTTGTGGTTGCTGGTAACATCAGACTCTTACAGGTTTATATGTTTATAACTTAATTATTGATGTTTAGTTCAATAGCGTTTTAATTACGAGGCGACAGAAAGTAATATCAGAGCGAAGAAGCTATAAGATGTACAAAAAAATAGTGAACGACTATTTAATTAATAATAATAGTGGTGTTAATTATTTAAATAAATTAGTAGTAATGCGAAAGATTTTTTATATTTGGTGTCAGGTGTGGGGTTCAAGAGGATTGAAGAAGAATGGGGAACAGAACTTTTAAGAATTTCATCGAATATTCTAATGCGTTTCATCACTAATTTTGTGAAAGTCTCTACCGATCCCAAATAACCCGAACAAACAATATACAGGGTTTGCCCGGAAAGTATTAGGACTGATTTCCTTCCGCCGCGACTATAGTTCGGAGCGTGCGCGCACCGACTGGATTCGGTAGAGGGCTTTTCTAGCTAACGAACGAGCGGCTGGTGAGTTGTCTCCGAGCACCTGGAGAGTCAGAACAGGCTTTTTCGCGCGATGTGTTTCTGGAAGTTATGATTCTTTTTAGTTTGGGTTGCGGTAGCGAATTTTTTTTCTATAAATTTAATTATCTTTGAAGCTATTGATCGTGTGAGCATATAAGTTGGTTATAAGGGTTATCCTACAACGTTGTTTCATACGAATTCGTTGAAATAATAGTTAAAAAATGCTATTAAGTGTGTACAGATACGTAAAAAATGCATAGTCTTAGAAAAATGTATGGATACATAAAAAATAAAAAAGAGAAAATAAACCAGTGACAAACTCAGATTACAGCTACATATTTGTTAACTCAAGAAAGGCTGAAATGACATCGATTACGGTTTACATAAACATTTCGATAACATCTGATCATTTGACACGACCCCCACTATTTGGCGTATGCTTAAAAATTTGGTTTTATCTACTTCATCAGCGTTAATAAAATTTGCTTTAGCTTTTTTAAGAGTTTAATTTCCGAATGAACCTTTTAACTTGAAATACGCTTTGGTAGTGACAGTAAAACGCAGGAGGATTGCTCTTTTTTTATCTGAGGTGCTTAGCATTTTTTCTTTTTTCAAAGCTTTGCCTCTCACTCTGATTTTTTTTCATCTTCATCCAAAATATTACCCATTACCTCTTGTGTCTTTACTTCCTCCTCCTTAGACGCATATTGTATAAAATTTACATTTTCAACTACCGTATTTGTAACGTCAAAATCATTACCTGGTTTCACGTCAGCATTAGATAATAAATCAGGTTCTTCCAACATTGTCCTCACCATTTGTACCACTAACATTGACGGTATTGTCCACCTCTATATCGGCATCAGATAGTAAGTCAGCTGAATCTCTTTCGCCAATTTTTTCTGCAGATTCACTGGAAGTTTTGAACTTGGTGTTAATTCTTCTATTTCATCCCCGATTTGTTGACTCTTTTGACTTTTCTGCGCAGAGCTTTTAAATTTTTTCAGTTAAAATGTCGAGCATGTATACGAACAACGGCCTATAACTTAGAAAGAACGTTTTTATTTTTGCTATTACACAAAACGTAAACCAACAGACCAATTTTTACAATGATTATCAGTCATTCTTGCTCGAAGTATATTTTCGACGTCTTGACAATTTCACTTGATGCTACCCTGATTATAGATATCGCGGTCTACGTTTTGTGATACTATATTCTGAACACATTTCTTTTAACTCCACTATTACTAGATCTCGACCGTTCCGCACTGTGTTATTTTGAGGGCTCCGAAAGTTATATAATTTTCAATAGCTCATCTGCTACTTCCGCTGCTCTTTCGCATTTTAACGGTGGAAGATATGAGCACTTAGTACTGTGGTCCTGATAATTAAATATTCCTTTATTATCGCCATTTGGCATTGACTGATAACCTATCAGATCGATTTGACCACGTTCATTGAAGTCTTGGGAAGTTATAGATCTGACGACAACTTTTCGGGACATACCTTTTCGACGTTCTAAGTTTTGTATACTTTCAATATGTTTCGATAGCGCTTTTGGAAATAGAGCATTTATTTTTCAATCCATAATGCGTTCTTACGCTACCTCCATTACAAGCGTTTCATTTGCTTACTCTGTCAAACAAATCTTCCTAAGATAACATAGTTTATGTGGTCATTACAGTTTATTTCATTTCTTCATTAACTTTTTCTTATTAAGTATTTTTGCCGATACAGGTCGTATGATTCACAGTTCTAATTAAAGTTTCTGTCAAGTTCCCCATTGTAGTAATATTTAATGCAGGTAGAACAATAATATAATTACAAATTGACTTTCGTGGTCAGTAGATGATCTTATGCTGTCCTGATTTGGGACTAAAGGCCGTAGTTGGTTATAGTTGCTTCTTAACGGAGACGGAAAGACCTCTGAAGAAACTCGCCACTCGTGCTAGCGAAACGTTAGGAGGCATCTCCAGTCGACGACGTACTTTAGGAATCAGGACAGCATCAGTTCAATATAATTACTGCTGTAACTCTGGGATGGTATTAGTGGGTCAACAAAGAAACGAAAACAAGAAAAATACGAATATTTAACAATCATAATTAGTGCGCTAGAGTGTAAGTACATCAAGATTATACGTTAAATTGATTTATGGATGTGTATTTTGTTTCTAATAACTTTTTTTAGATAAAAACATCTTACAAATTACTTTCAACTACCTACAATCTTTTGCAAACAAATGCAATAACAGTCAACCCCCCCTCAATCTACCACACTAAATGTGCTGTTGTAATATTATTTGCGATATTGATTTCATTTTTTGTTACTGCTCTACCATGTTCTTATTCAAATTTCAGGGTTCATTACCATGATGCGGAATAATATCGAGATTGAAATGGATTCATTTGGTATTTTAATTACAGATAGATCATATTTGTATTAGTAACATTAGGTTGTAATTATTTTCACTTTATGTTGTTGTGTCAATCATACGTCTAAAATAGTTGTCTTACATAATATCATTATTTTATATAATATATTCGTAAAAATGTGCATACCAGAAAATACAGTACCTACACTACTGTCATGACAAAATTTTTTTGCTCATGTATTGTTTGTTATTTGTTAGCTTAGATTATTTCAGAAACACCCTGTATAAAAATGTATAACTTCTACAAAAAATTAGCATTGAAATCTTTACGAGTTACATTCGAGTCATCGAGTTAACGTTATGCCAACACTAGCTTCATAATTTATACAAGGCGTTTAGAGAAAAAATCAAAGTTGAGAACTTCAAACTTTTTCAAGTGATACCTATTATATTTTATTTCACCGTTCGATTCCTCTTCTTATCCTGTTTCCAATAATGCTGGATCGGTGCGTCCAGAAATGTTGAGAGTGGGTAGAGTGTACTTTAGTCTAGGAAGATATGACATGATAGGGTCATATCGAAGTGCAAAATTGGCATTAGGTGTTTTCAGTCGAAATTTATTCTTAATGTCCAAAAGCAAATGGAAATTGGCAAAATGCTTTTCAAAAAATGATTACGATCATACGAGCAGACGCCAGAAGCGTGAATGAAAGGCAATGATTAATAAGACATAAAAAGATGATTTTCATAATGGTGAAGAAAAAATCTTAATGTGACAAGGCAATGAACAAGGCAGGCAGTTAATAATATGAAGCGAAGGGATGTCGACAAAACATCGAAATTGAAAAACTTGTCTTATCGTTCTTGTGGTTGCTGGTAACATCAGACTCTTACAGGTTTATATGTTTATAACTTAATTATTGATGTTTAGTTCAATAGCGTTTTAATTACGAGGCGACAGAAAGTAATATCAGAGCGAAGAAGCTATAAGATGTACAAAAAAATAGTGAACGACTATTTAATTAATAATAATAGTGGTGTTAATTATTTAAATAAATTAGTAGTAATGCGAAAGATTTTTTATATTTGGTGTCAGGTGTGGGGTTCAAGAGGATTGAAGAAGAATGGGGAACAGAACTTTTAAGAATTTCATCGAATATTCTAATGCGTTTCATCACTAATTTTGTGAAAGTCTCTACCGATCCCAAATAACCCGAACAAACAATATACAGGGTTTGCCCGGAAAGTATTAGGACTGATTTCCTTCCGCCGCGACTATAGTTCGGAGCGTGCGCGCACCGACTGGATTCGGTAGAGGGCTTTTCTAGCTAACGAACGAGCGGCTGGTGAGTTGTCTCCGAGCACCTGGAGAGTCAGAACAGGCTTTTTCGCGCGATGTGTTTCTGGAAGTTATGATTCTTTTTAGTTTGGGTTGCGGTAGCGAATTTTTTTTCTATAAATTTAATTATCTTTGAAGCTATTGATCGTGTGAGCATATAAGTTGGTTATAAGGGTTATCCTACAACGTTGTTTCATACGAATTCGTTGAAATAATAGTTAAAAAATGCTATTAAGTGTGTACAGATACGTAAAAAATGCATAGTCTTAGAAAAATGTATGGATACATAAAAAATAAAAAAGAGAAAATAAACCAGTGACAAACTCAGATTACAGCTACATATTTGTTAACTCAAGAAAGGCTGAAATGACATCGATTACGGTTTACATAAACATTTCGATAACATCTGATCATTTGACACGACCCCCACTATTTGGCGTATGCTTAAAAATTTGGTTTTATCTACTTCATCAGCGTTAATAAAATTTGCTTTAGCTTTTTTAAGAGTTTAATTTCCGAATGAACCTTTTAACTTGAAATACGCTTTGGTAGTGACAGTAAAACGCAGGAGGATTGCTCTTTTTTTATCTGAGGTGCTTAGCATTTTTTCTTTTTTCAAAGCTTTGCCTCTCACTCTGATTTTTTTTCATCTTCATCCAAAATATTACCCATTACCTCTTGTGTCTTTACTTCCTCCTCCTTAGACGCATATTGTATAAAATTTACATTTTCAACTACCGTATTTGTAACGTCAAAATCATTACCTGGTTTCACGTCAGCATTAGATAATAAATCAGGTTCTTCCAACATTGTCCTCACCATTTGTACCACTAACATTGACGGTATTGTCCACCTCTATATCGGCATCAGATAGTAAGTCAGCTGAATCTCTTTCGCCAATTTTTTCTGCAGATTCACTGGAAGTTTTGAACTTGGTGTTAATTCTTCTATTTCATCCCCGATTTGTTGACTCTTTTGACTTTTCTGCGCAGAGCTTTTAAATTTTTTCAGTTAAAATGTCGAGCATGTATACGAACAACGGCCTATAACTTAGAAAGAACGTTTTTATTTTTGCTATTACACAAAACGTAAACCAACAGACCAATTTTTACAATGATTATCAGTCATTCTTGCTCGAAGTATATTTTCGACGTCTTGACAATTTCACTTGATGCTACCCTGATTATAGATATCGCGGTCTACGTTTTGTGATACTATATTCTGAACACATTTCTTTTAACTCCACTATTACTAGATCTCGACCGTTCCGCACTGTGTTATTTTGAGGGCTCCGAAAGTTATATAATTTTCAATAGCTCATCTGCTACTTCCGCTGCTCTTTCGCATTTTAACGGTGGAAGATATGAGCACTTAGTACTGTGGTCCTGATAATTAAATATTCCTTTATTATCGCCATTTGGCATTGACTGATAACCTATCAGATCGATTTGACCACGTTCATTGAAGTCTTGGGAAGTTATAGATCTGACGACAACTTTTCGGGACATACCTTTTCGACGTTCTAAGTTTTGTATACTTTCAATATGTTTCGATAGCGCTTTTGGAAATAGAGCATTTATTTTTCAATCCATAATGCGTTCTTACGCTACCTCCATTACAAGCGTTTCATTTGCTTACTCTGTCAAACAAATCTTCCTAAGATAACATAGTTTATGTGGTCATTACAGTTTATTTCATTTCTTCATTAACTTTTTCTTATTAAGTATTTTTGCCGATACAGGTCGTATGATTCACAGTTCTAATTAAAGTTTCTGTCAAGTTCCCCATTGTAGTAATATTTAATGCAGGTAGAACAATAATATAATTACAAATTGACTTTCGTGGTCAGTAGATGATCTTATGCTGTCCTGATTTGGGACTAAAGGCCGTAGTTGGTTATAGTTGCTTCTTAACGGAGACGGAAAGACCTCTGAAGAAACTCGCCACTCGTGCTAGCGAAACGTTAGGAGGCATCTCCAGTCGACGACGTACTTTAGGAATCAGGACAGCATCAGTTCAATATAATTACTGCTGTAACTCTGGGATGGTATTAGTGGGTCAACAAAGAAACGAAAACAAGAAAAATACGAATATTTAACAATCATAATTAGTGCGCTAGAGTGTAAGTACATCAAGATTATACGTTAAATTGATTTATGGATGTGTATTTTGTTTCTAATAACTTTTTTTAGATAAAAACATCTTACAAATTACTTTCAACTACCTACAATCTTTTGCAAACAAATGCAATAACAGTCAACCCCCCCTCAATCTACCACACTAAATGTGCTGTTGTAATATTATTTGCGATATTGATTTCATTTTTTGTTACTGCTCTACCATGTTCTTATTCAAATTTCAGGGTTCATTACCATGATGCGGAATAATATCGAGATTGAAATGGATTCATTTGGTATTTTAATTACAGATAGATCATATTTGTATTAGTAACATTAGGTTGTAATTATTTTCACTTTATGTTGTTGTGTCAATCATACGTCTAAAATAGTTGTCTTACATAATATCATTATTTTATATAATATATTCGTAAAAATGTGCATGAATAATTATTACGTTCTAGTTTTAACTAGTTCATAGTATGTTTATTTTATTCTATTTAGTAATAATTAAAAATTAAATTTTCCATTCAAAAATTTACTGTTTGTCTTCTATTTTTAGTAGTTGTTAAGTTGTGCTTATCCCAACGCTTAAAAAATACTTTTTTTTTCATTGGCTTGTGGCCATACTGTTTAACTATAGGAGGTTTACATAAAATTGTTAAAATATGGTACTTTAAGTATGTTACATCACTACTTCCCGAATAAAAATTACAATCATTTGCTGATAAGCTTTAGCGCTTCTGAAGACGCGCCCTGATTGAGTTTATTTTCTAATCCAAACTGCATAACAACTACATATAATACATACCTATGTTGCATTATGAAACACGAAATAAGTTTTCGATTTGAATTTCATTTTGTTTTGGTGCAGAGCTTATGTGGTGACCAAAAAATAGCGGCATTCCAAAACTTTAAATCTATTCTACATATTAAGCACAAAAAGTTAAATTTCGTCGGTTTTATGTGATTTCGTTATGTCTTCCGAGGTAAAAATTCCTCTTTGTAAAGGTAGAAATGTATCTTTTGTCGAATAGCTTTAAGAGAAACTTATAAATAGATCTCACGGGCAGGCATATGTGTTGAAGCTAATCTAAAATTCAACATTTTGTAATAAGGGTAAGTAAACAAGAAAACTAACCAACTAAACCTTTAACCGATTGTCATATTAGTACACTGATTTGGTTCGAAAGATAGAGGTTACCTCGAAAGTTTTCCGGGAGTTTTGAAAATCGGTAATTTTATAGATTTTGATGTGCTCTTTCCGAATTTCAACTTTGCACCTCGTATTTTCGTCGCTGGCGCCGCCATTTTGGAAAATGGCGTCTAAAAGCAGTGTTTTGACAATATCTCCTTTCCGACTTATTTTACGATAAAAACAGTTATATACAAAATGGAACTAGAGACAATTACCTGCAATTTATGTATCAACCTTTTTTTTCATAAAATCAATAGCGTACGAGCGTCGCAAAGAGTACTTCAACACTCATTTTGACCAAAAACTTTTGCACACCACCTTGAGGTAGAGTAAGCGGCTCTTTTTTTATCGTGGTATCCCCAATAGGCCTAATTTACATGCAATTCAATATCCTGAAATTTAGCGCATTTCCTTCGCTTCGCTGTTCTTGATGGATCAGGCGTTGCAAATTCATTGTCTGTAGTACCAATCGAAACGTCACAGATCGGAATTTCATCCACATCATCGACGATGGGATTATCAGTTTCATCGCAATCCTCTTCGTTTTCGATTTTATCATATGTTTCCTCAATAATAGTCTCTGTTTCTTCCTCTTTATCGCTATTTTGTAATAGAACTTGCGAGTTACCATAAGTATCGCTACAATTCGTGCATATAACAGAGTACTTTAACCCAGCCTTCCTGCATCCTCAAGCTTTCTGACATCCCTTTTTGTATTTGCAAGAAATACGTTTTAACAAGTTTTCTGGAGCTGAGAGCTCGAGTGTGGTGACAGGAATTAGCCCATTCTTGTTTTTTTTTTCATCTCCATTGCTCTGCATTTTGTTCATTCCCATACCACACTGTTGAACCTGGTGGGAGGTTCGGAACGAATGTTGTCGTGCGGCTGCTTCTGTTAGTGACGCAATATTAATTTTTTTTATATGCTGATGTGTAGTTGTTTAAAGACATATTTTTTTAATTTTCGAATTACTGTAGCTGTATAATTCAAGAAGGAAGCATTCTCTAGCTTTAAATCTGGAGTTTTTCGGAGCACATTCATAAATTTAATTTTTCCTTAATGAAATACTGCTGATGTTGTATCGCAGCCACTGAAGAAATGCAAGTTATATTGCAGTCTTAAAACAATGAAATCATTGTATACACAAATTGTCTATTAGATCAATGCAATCTATTGTTCTGATAAAATAAACATTTCCTGCAATATCAGCAGAACACGGTATATAAATACTCGTGTCCAAACTTACTTTTTCATTTATACAAGTGTATTGGTCCTCGAGACATCTCATTTGTGAATCACTTTTCAAATTTTGTTTAAATAAAGTTTTCCTGTTTTTAAAAACGGATTTTTATTTTAAACAAAAATAACTGGTGCTGCGAACAGGATCGGTAACGGCGTTTNGCTTACACATATAAATAGCTCAAATAATAAAGCATTGTATGCATGTAAGATAGTGTGTGTAAGTAGTGCGTTTCACCGACGCAAATCTACTGCGTATTAAACTTTTTATTATGTAAGATTCGAGGTCAAGTGCATCAAATATTATTAATTACATTCATTATCGAGAGGTAAACGAAAAAACAAAAGCCTCTTTTCTTATAACATCTCTCATGCTACATTTGCATACAGCCACACGCACATACATACATAGCAGATATAGCTAATACATCTTTTCTTATAACAACTGACACGGTACACATGCATACACATACCCACACACACACACACACACACACCCACACACACACACACACACACACACACAAATCCTATAGCTTGTTATTATTAATAACAAAAAAAAATGGACGATGTCACGCCCATCCACTCATTAACAAAATGGACGATTACAACATCATTACAAAATATTCCATAAATGGCAATGTGGGGGGGACGATGTCACGCCCATCCACTCATTAACAAAATGGACGATTACAAAATATTCCATAAATGGCAATGCGGGGGGAACAGGGGGGGAACGATTGCAAGCCCGAAGGCGTTAACAAAATGGAGGATAACAACAAAAAACACCCACATGACACAAGAGGGGGACGGGGCCGACTAATTAGAGGACAAAATCTAACGAGCGGAAGTGCCGTAAGAAAAGCATTGGGAGATAAGGAGATTTGCCCCTAGATATCCTACTATCCCATGCTTTAAAGACGTTTTAGACAATCCGTTTTGTTCTCATTCTACGCATAGAGGCTGTAGCTACCTCGATTTTTTTGGTGCACGACATATCAGAAACGGTTAGAGATAGGCTTCCGAAAACGTAATAAATTGTCGTATAACATGCTTTAAAAACTTTGTGGAAAATCCGTTTTGTTCTCATTCCACGTATAGAGACTGTAGCTGCCTCGAGCTTTTCGGTAGACGAAATCGCAGAAACGGTTAGAGATAGGCTTCTGAAAACGTCGTAAATCGTCGTATCGCAAGCTTTAAAGACGTCTTGGACATCCGCTTTATTCTCATACCACGCATAGAGACGGTAACTAGCTCGAGTTTTTTGGTGGACATCTCAGAAACGGTTAGAGATTGGCTTCTGAAAACGTCATAAATCGTCGTATCCCAAGCTTTAAAGACGTTTTAGGCCATCCGTTTTATTCTCCTTCCACGCACGGAGGCTGTAGCTACTTCGAGTTTTTCGGTGGACGACATCTCAGGAACGGTTGGAGATGGGATTCTACAAACGTCATAAGCCGTCGTGTGGCATGCTTTGAAGACGTTTTAAACCATCCGTTTTATTCTCATTCCACATCGAGGCTGTAGATTCCTCGAGTTTTTTGGTGTAGGACATCTCAGGAACGGTTAGAGATAGGCTTCTGAAAACGTCATAAATCGTCGTATCCCATGCTTTAAAGACGTTTTAGACAATCCGTTTTATTCTCATTCTACGCATAGATGCTGTAGCTACCTCGATTTTTTTGGTGGACGACATCTCCGAAACGGTCAGAGATAGGCTTCTGAAAACGTAATATATTGTCGTATCCCATGCTTTAAAAACGTTTTGGACCATCTGTTTTGTTCTTATTCCACGCACAGAGGCTGTAGCTGCCTCGAGCTTTTCGGTAGACGACATCGCAGAAACGGTTAGAGATAGGCTTCTGATAACGTCATAAATCGTCGTATCGCAAGCTTTAAAGACGTTTTGGACATCCGCTTTATTCTCATTCCACGCATAGAGGCTGTAGCTAGCTCGAGTTTTTTGGTGGACATCTCAGAAACGGTTAGAGATTGCCTTCTGATAACGTCATAAATCGTCGTATCGCAAGCTTTAAAGACGTTTTGGACATCCGTTTTATTCTCCTTCCACGCACGGAGGCTGTAGCTACTTCGAGTTTTTCGGTGGACGACATCTCAGGAACGGTTAGAGATGGGCTTCTAAAAACGTTATGAATCGTCGTATCGCATGCTTTAAAGAAGTTATTGACCATCCATTAGGTTCTCATACCAGGCATAGGGCTGTAACCACCTCGATTTTTTTGGTGGACGACATCGCAGAAACGGTTAGAGATAGGCTTCTGAAAACGTCATAAATTGTCGTATCCCATGCTTTAAAGACGTTTTAGACCATCCGCTTTATTCTCATTCCTGGCACAGAGGCTGTAGCTACCTCGAGTTTTTTGGTGGACGACATCTCACAAACGGTTGGAGATAGCCTTCCACAAACGTCATAAATCGTCGTATCGCATGCTTTAAAGGCGTTTTAGACCATCCGTTTTATTGTAATTCCACGCATAGAAGCTGTGGCTACCTCGAGTTCTTTGCTGGACGACATCTCAGAAACGGTTAGAGATAGGCTTCTGAAAACGTCGTAAACCGTCGTATCGTATGCATTAAGGACGATTTAGACCATCTGTTTTATTCTCATTCCACGCATAGAGGCTGCAGGTACCTCGATTTTTTTGGTGGACAACATCTCAGGAACGGTTAGAGATGGGCTTCTGTAAACGTTATAAATCGTCGTATCCCATGCTTTAAAGACGTTTTAGACCATCCGTTTTATTCTCCTCCCAGGCATAGAGGCTGTAGCTACCTCGATTTTTTTGGTCGACGACATCTCAGAAACGGATAGAGATAGGCTTCTGAAGAGCTCATAAATTGTCGTATCCTATGCTTTAAAGACGTTAAATACAATCCGCTCTATTCTCATTCCAGGCATAGGAGCTGTAGCTACTTCGAGTTCTTTGATGGACGACATCTCAGGAACGGTTAGAGATAGGCTTCTACAAATATCATAAATCGTCGTTTCGCATGCTTTAAAGACGTTTCAGGTGATCCGTTTTATTCCCCTTCCACGCATCGAAGCTGCAGCTACCTCGAGTTTATCGGTGGATGACATCTCAGAAACGGTTTGAGGTAGTCTTCTGAAGAGGTCATGAATCGTCGTATCGCATGATTCAAAGACGTTTTAGACCATCCGTTTTATTCTTATTCCACGCATAGAGGCTGTAGCTACCTCAGGTTTTTTGGGTGACGACAACTGAGGAACGGTTAGCGATAGGCTTCTGAAAAGTTCATAAATCGTCGTATGG